TTGAACCTAACATTATTTATTAGATTCTATATTTTTGCATACTGATAATCTTCTTCCTCATAAGTTTAGGATTTGGAGTTTCTATATTATTCAACATATAATCCTAGAGTTCATATAAATAACGTCGGATCTAAAGCTACATCAAACTTTAGATGGCGAAGAATGGTTCTAAGTCTCAAAAAAAAAATGAATGGTTCTGAAAATTGTGGTGGAGCTCTTGCATATCTGGGTCCTAATAACATTGATCTTAAGGTTACGATATGATTTATCTCATATTTTGGCATGCTTAATAACATTGACCTTATGATATAGTTTGCATGTCTAATTTATTGATTGTGTTTTTGATCTATGAATAAAACAGAATGGAAACATGGGATGAATATAGCGATCAGAAGCAAAACTTTAAAAATATTTGGTTTCTTTACTTTTTGCCATGTTTATATTTCGTTTAATTTAGTATATTCTGTTTTTTTTAATTAACATTGCTATAGTTTTTAGATCTAATTTAATGATTGTGTTTTCTTGATATATAGATGTTAGTTTGTTTTAACTGCTTTTTGGTGTAGCTTATTCTCCCGTCGAGATTTTTCTTTAGTATAATAAAAATAAGCGATATTAGTATAGCTTATTCAAATTTTTTTGTTCACGCATCTAAACAAGGTTGAATATTTTTGTGTCTAGCTTTGGCTTCTAACTTTTTTTTTTTGGAACATACGTATTAGTGTTAAACTTCTAATTAGAGTTATGAAAAACTTCAAAAACAGACACCAAGGTTTGCCATAGTCTCAATTTGAGTGTTATTTAAAGTTAATACAAGCAAATTAGTATTCTCTTTAATCTTGCTCAAGAGGAAATAACAGAATGAATTACCTTCATGATTGTTGTTAATTGTAAATCAAAAGTATATTTGGTTAATTATTACTTCGATTTTGTTACATGGTCCAGGTTGAGAGATTTTCAAATTTTCATGAAGGACAAGAAATATTGTAATCCCACAAATAAGCTAAGGATGGTTCTTCTTATTCTTCGAGATCTAACTCAAATACAAATTATGAGAATCCAAGCCATATTCGCTTAACCAAGGTCAGATTAGAACCTTCTATCTGTTTTTTGTATCCCTCTCGATCACTGTTACCATATTTTTCAATCTCTGTTGTCTGTTAGTTCGAAAGTATTTGTTGAAAATTTCGAAGACTGATTACAAGTGTTGTGTACAAATATTTTTCGATTATTTGTAGAACTATGTCACCGTAAGATAGTATGTGCACACAAACTATATGGCTTTTTCTTCTCGAAAGTAAAATCCAAGTCTTTCTTTTATTTTTGTATAATTTATCTGCTTTGCTTATTATAACATTACAATATGACATATGTTTTTTGTCCTTTCTTTGTTGTAGTGTACATGCCATTGATATATGAAGCATATGATGCATATTTGCATAAATGCTCACGTGGTCATTGATGCTCACGTGGTCATTGATATTATGACTGGTTTGGTTGATACTCCTTCACCTGACCCTATTTTAAGGGTTAGTGGGTATTAGTTAGTTCTGAGTTTTTTTTTGTTTTTTAAAGCTAAGCAATGGAGTTTACTGGATATCTTGTGAATTATAAGTTAAACAAATTATAAGCTATGATTATTTATTTACTTGGACTATCTCGGGCTAGAGTCATATTAATTGTTATGAAATTTCAGGTTGTATGTATGTGGCTAAGATTATTGGGGCAATTACAAAAATGCCACTTTTTGTGTGCACATTTGCAAGAATGCCACTTAGGGGTGTCCATTTACAAAAATGCCACT